GACAACAGAAGGGACAAGGAGCCTGGCAGGACGCTGGGGGCACAGCAGTGCACCAGCTCTCCACTGACTGCTGTGGGGACCACAGGGACGTTCTCCTGGGCTGACTCGTGCCCTCCCCTGGCAGAGGCCGGGCATTTACCTGGAGGCTGCAGAGGACAGTGTAGAGGTAGTGGAAAGCCAGGACACTGTTGTTGACAGCCAAGAGGCCAAAGAGCCAGGTAGTGCTAATAACTAGAAGCAGAACAAAGGAGCTCCGTAACGTCATGCTGGAGAGAGAGAGACAGACAGACAGGCACACAGACACACACCGAGAGGTTAGTGCGTGTTGTTAATCTACAGTCTAGCACTCACAGACAGAGATCCAGAGGGGAAAGCGTGCTCCTGCCCAGCCCTCCCTGCTGCGCCCAGCACTGCAGGCTCATGCCTGCACGGCGGTTCGGCTCCCCCCGACCCCAGGCCTTCCCTTCTGGATCACACATGGCAAACGCAGGGGCCCAGGTGACACAGGTCATTCGGAGCCACAGAGAGCTGAGCCATGCTCCAGGGCGGGCCCAGGAGGGAGCGGGGAAAGGTCTCAGGATGAGCATGTAGTAGAAAAAGCAGGTGCCAAGAGCTGACAAGGGCAGAGTGTTGACTCCAAGCAGACGTAAGGGGTGGTTGTGAGGGCAGGCAGGAAAGGGTGACAGGCTGGTGGGACAGTGTGGAGATGGGGACGCAGGAAAAAGAGGCAAGGACAAAGTTTAGGAAAGGTTAACGTGATCGGCAGGTGTGGGAGAGGAGATCAGCTGCCAGGCTGACACTGATGCACAGAGGGACACTCTGCGATGGTGGAAGAGGGAGGATGATCACTGAAAATGCTAAAAACCACGAGCCACAGGAGCTCTGCTGGGAGTTTGGCCACTAATACTCACAGAACTGATTTCTTCTTGGTCTCCTTTTGGCCTGGGGAACAGGACGTCTTGGCCACAAGCAGGAACATGACCCCATTCATCTGAAAGCGTTGGTACTGATTAGAAGCTGTGCCAAGGGCCAGCTCTGACATGACATCCCCAGTGCAGAGTGTGGGCAGACTCCAGGTCTGCCAGGCTTATGTGAACATCCCCTCCTTTCCCCTTCATGCCCAAGCCATGGCCTCCCCCAAGTCTGGCTGGAGCAAGGAGGAACAGAGAGAGGGCCTCTAACTGAGGAAGGAGAATACAGAGAAGGGGGCAGGCAGTGGGCAGCCAAGGAAGGGGCGAGTGCCCACGGTACAGAGAAGGGAGGCAGGAGAGGGCTGTGGGTGAAACAGGACAGGGTTTTACCACAATGACGACAGTAATGGGGCCTGCAAAGCTCCAGACCAGCTTATCATGAATGGAAATCCAGCAGAAGTCGGGGTTCCCATAGCCCTCAGGATCCAGGCCAACAGCCAGCCCTGCGGGAAGAAAGGAGAGCTCAGGTCCAGACCCAGCAGCCTTGGACCTGCCCAAGCTGTGTTGACCCCGTCCCAGCACTGAAGGCCAGGAAGGGGCTCTCTCACTGCTCCTTGCCCTGTGCACCGGCTTCCCTGCCACAGGGGAAAGCCCGGACTGCGAGGCCCAGCACTGTGGCCTTTATTACTTTCCTCCAGGTGTCCCTGACACAACCTAGCAGGCATTCACTGCCAGCAACAGATCACCCAAGCATGCAGGCATGGGAAACCAGGAGACCTTAACCACAAGCCCTGGGACAGCAGGAGCCCCATGCCCATCGAACAAGCCATGGGGAGATGCACTGAGGAATTACCGCTCCCCAGGAGGCAAGACAACAGCCCTTGGTATGTGGTCTCCAGCTGACCACCACAGCCCTGCTCACTGCCAGCACAGCTGGCTGTGGCAATCCCACCCTCAGCTCTCCCCGCCGGGTGAGCGAGCTGGGCAACACCAGGGGACCAAGAGGCTGCTGAAAACCAGCGTTTTTGGCATGGTGTCAGGACAAGCTGCTCTTACCGGTGATGATGGCGGGCACTCCCCAGCCGATGGCATAGTAGAAACGCATGGCCCCGAAGTTGACATTGCGGGCTTCAGTCTGCATGCGGTAAATGTGGAGGCCCTGGACGAAGAGCCAGGCAAAGGTGGAGAGGAAGAAGCAGTGGAGGAGGATGGCAATCACAGTGCAAAGAAACTGGGGAGACAAAAGCCACTCAGAGATGGCCGACTGTGCCAACGCTAACTGCATCATCCATGCCTCGCCCCCACCCCCTTGTTCAAGCCCACAGACCTGGTTCTCAGTGCGGTTGATGCCCAGGAGAAAGAGCAGCTCAGAGAAGAAGAGGGTGACTGATATGTTGGAGTGAATGCCGCGTGTGTTGGACTTGAGGCCTTTGAGGCAGGTCAGGAAGGAGAAGGTCAGCAGCAAAGCCACCAAGGAGAGAGACACCAAGGAATAGGTGACAATTGCCAATGTCTCCAGGTCACCTTCCAGTTGCTGCAGCAGCAGAGAACCAAAAGCAAATGGCGGTGTTAGCAGCAGATGCAAGAAGCCTGCTGAGCTCTCAGGCTCTGCTTGTGTCCCACAGGGAATTTTCTGCCTGCGCCTGCTTATTCTGTGACCCAGTGGCTAACAGGCCCCTTCCCCCAGCCCCACCCCAGCAGCCCCACAGGCCAAGGGTACCTCTCGGTGCGAGCTGTCCATCAGAACCCCAAAGGTGCCAAACTGAGAGCACTGGCAGTGGACGTGCGTGGTGTTTCGGTACACGAGCTCACAGTCCCTGGCTGTCCAGAAGCCGGAGGGGTTGGTCCTGCAACCACCAAAAAACAGAGCGCACTTAGGAGAGCAGACAGATGAGTGTGGTGTGCAGGGAAGGAACCACAGAGAAGAGGGGTGGTTGGCAAGGCTTTTCTACCAGCAGACACAACTGCACTCCTACAGCTGAAGTACTGGAGCCAGAGCCCCGCAGGGACCCTGCTGTGCCCTCCTCAGCAGCACAGAACCCCTGGAAGAGGGCAGAAACCCCCACGTCCAAGTGCTGCCCACGCACACAGCCTGTCACGACCAGGGAGGCTTCAGGAACAAGGACATGCCCAGGGAAAGCAGCTCAGAGTGGCCCAGCCATGCTCTACTCACGGGTTGGAGTGGTTCCACTGGACGCAGAGAGGTTTGCTCCTGTTGGCCGTCTCCAGCAGGTGAAATTCCAGCACGAGAGGGGTGTCCAGGGGCCCCCGGAGGAAGGTGTGGTTGCTGAACACAGACACGCTCACGATGGGGGAGTTCATCACGGGATTCTTGGGGAGCCTGCAAGGAGCAATGGAGCTCTACCACTACCGTGCCTGGCAGCCGCCGCCCTCCTGGGACTTCCCGGACACCCCGCGCTGACGCCTCGCGAGGAACAGCTCTGCCCAGCCCGCACCGTGAGGTCAGGAACCATGGGGCAGAGCAACGCCAAGGCGGGGATCAGGCAGAGCACTGCTGGCTGGGAGCCGAACCCAAGCCATTGCAGACAGACTCAGCAACTGCTGGAGGAGCAGAGCCGAGTCAGCCAGCCTCTCTCCACCGGTGCTTGCGGAGGGCCAAGGGGAGGAGGACGTACCTGAGGCTGCGGCGATCCACCTGGTAACGCGCAGGCAGCAGCCCCCCCAGGGTGCGATACATGATGAGGATGATGACAGTGAGAGTGGGCTCGGGCTCCGGCAGCACCTGCCTCGGGGAGGAGTTCTCCACGGTGTAGTTCCCTTCGCCCCCAGCCGCTGCGGGCACCGCCGTGGGGGCAGCTGAAGCACACAAAGGGGTGGTGAGAACAGACACACACACTGCTCTGCAGGCAACTTGTGAAGCCATCAGGAGCCTCTGGGATGTGGTAAAGTCAGAAGCTCTGAGCTCTCAGGGGTGACTTGTGGACCCCTGACAGAGCCAGGTCTCAGCAGCGGTACATGCAGACTCGATGGCCTTTAAAGGTCCCTTTCAACCCAGACCACTCTCTGATTCAACATCTTCCCTGCCAGCCATGCCCCCCCACACTGTTTCCCAAGCGATGCTCACATGCTCACCTTCGGCTTTTGGGGGGCTCAGCACCGACAGCGGCAGCACAACGTGGGTGTGGGGGTCCCAGGCGGGCTGGCCCCGGAAGAGGCTGCTGTGGTAGCGAGGGTAGCGGCGGCGGATATGGGAGCGGTTCTCCATGCGATCGATGCTCAGCACTGCAGAGGAGCAAAGGAGTGAGAGTCAGCTCTAGGATGGCCACCTGGAGAGCAACCATGCTCCAGGGCACCCCAGGTTTGAAGGCACTGGCAAAGGGACTGTACGAGCCATAGGCTGGGTTGTGGATATGTCCCATGTTTGGGCATGACATAAAATCATAGAATAGACTCACAGAATCATAAAATCATTATGGCTGGAAAAGACCTCTAAGATCATCAAGTCCAACCGTCAACCCAACACCACCGTGCCTGCTAAACCATGTCCTGAAGCACCACATCTACACATTTTTTGAACACCTCCAGGGATGGTGACTCCACCACCTCCCTGGGCAGCCTGTTCCAATGCTTCACAATTCTTTCAGGAAAGAAATTATCCCAGCACCCAAAGTGCTCCTTTGCAGCCCAGATTCTTGCTCTGCCATGGGGCAGACTACTTCTGCCACTGAGGCCAGCAGCACTTTCATCACAGATTGGGAGGTAACTGGGAGCGGGCAGCACACTCCTGGCTTTGCTGGCTCTCGGTGGTGTGTCAGCTACTCCAGGAAATGATGGGACCAGGACATCTCTCACAAACCTCCCCATGTTTGAGAGAGCCTCCCAGGATGTTATCCTCGCCCCTGCTGAGGTTAAGTGAGATGAGGAGAAGGGGACAAGGTGTGATGGAGGACTGGCTCTACACCACCCCAGCCAGGCCCTCCCCACCAGCCAGCTCCTACTCACTAATGTTGGGGGTGACGACGCCGACGGGGTTGAGGTAGGTGAGTTTCATGTTGCTGGCCAGCGTGCCCGAGTAGTCCCGCAGCTGCTCCATGAGGCTGGCGCTGCCGTGCTCGCTGTGCGGCAGCATGGCCCAGTGCTCCCGGTTCTCGGGCGCCAGCACAGAGCTGCCTGCGTGCAGCAGGTTCTGCATGGGAGAGACATGGGGGCAGGGGGTGAGGGAACTACTGCCTTAGGGCCCTGTCCTGACCACCCCCAGGCTGCAGCACTGTGCTCTCTGCCCAGACAAGGGCTCAGGGAAGAGGGATACTTTCTGCTACGACAGGCCCCCACCCTCAGTGCTCATCAGCCAGTGCCCTGGAGAGACATCTTCCCTGCACCCCTGCCATCAGGGACTTGCAGGCAGCTGTAAGACCTCCCTTTGCCTTCCCAGGCTGAGCAAACCCAGCTTTCTGCCTCTCCTCATCCACCCTGTGCCAGCCCTGACCACGCAGGTGACCTCCACAGGTCTCGTTCCCGTGAGTCAATGTCTGTGTGGCAGTGGGGAGCCCAGTGCTCCTGACATAGTCTCACAACATCCTCGATCCCCTCAGACACCCAGGCTCAGGGGGGATGGTATCGAGAAGAAGTCACCCTGACTGAGGGAAGGACTCACCTCATTGAAGTGGGCGTCCTGTGTGGCTGTCAGGCCAAAGCCACGCTGCCGACTCTCAAAGGCCATGAGGCGGGACAGAAGGCGGAAAGTGATGTGCACGTCATTGCCAAAGTAGTGGTCCATGTGGTCTGTTACAGCCCGGAGCCGGTGGGCCAGCTTCTTGGCTTCAATTGTGTTAAGTTCAGTCTCGTTCCTCTCCAAGCCCTCCAGCTGCCAGTGGGGAGA